TTAGCTCCCTAATGCAAAACTGTAGTAACACAGTTAAAGGACCTCTGTGGCTCACATTACGAGCTGTTGGAGAACTACGGTGGCCTTCAGGGATCGTAAAAACGTGAAAAGCTCTCTCTAGAGCCAGTGATTGGTTTGTCCATTCTGGGCTACGGTAGAAACATAGCGGTGCGACACGGCAGACTCCGTGAAGAGGACCTGCTCCCTGTGTAGGTATGAAGGGCTCAATCTAAGCTAAAAGTTCTTAGTTTCAGGTGATTAAACACAGATGAAAACATAGTTGTGAATATTATATTTCTGCTAATAGTTATCCAGAAATGCTACACACTTGCCCTTTAATACGGCCAAACTAATATCATATTACCTGAATGGGGGAGAAAAAAAACTTCTGCATCCTTTAGGATCAAATAATTGCCTGGGGTTTATTTAGGATCACATGACCACATCACATGGCATATTTTCAACTGGAGATTTTTCTGTTATCGGAGGAGTCGAGTCGGCAGTGGAAGTGTTGTTTATCTACTTACAATGCTTGGAGGACTTTTTAAAATGTATTTAAAAGTGTGACATTTAACTCTGATGGGTATGGATTCATATATAAGCACAAGCCATGGGCACATTTTGTTTTTTAAATAAGAAAGCAACCCTGACTGGTCCGCTGTGAGAAGTGAGGGTCAGGGTCAGACGGAGAAGTCAGTGCAGGTCACTGACCACATTCCACAGGGACTGAAACAAGTGTCTCTCCCTGCAAAGCACTAACTTGGCGCTCATTGCAGTGAATGGTTTACCTCATTCACCCACAGAATGGCAGCGTGAATGGCTGACGTCAGAGCAGGTATTAGACACACGACAGCTACAGGCCACCTGGATTGATGGCTGTGAACAAGCTGCTGCTTCTTACTCAAGTAACAACCACCGGCTGTGTTCCTGCGCGCCATGTGAACTGGCTGAAACGTTGCTGTTGATAGTGAGTGTGTACGTATTTTTTTCCTTTTTTTTTTTAGAGGACTCAATAAACTCTTTACGTTGAGTTTGTCAAGTGGGACCAAAGGTCGAAAGTTCTTATCTGAATCCATGTCCGACACAAAGATAGTCAGTTGGATTATAAAGCATAAACATGCAAATAAAAATATCCAAAAACATCCTGTGCAAACACGCAGGTGCCCCCCAGGTGCCCCCCTACAGTCTGCACGAACTCTATTGTCAGCTCCGTGTTTTGACGCCCACTCGTGTCTGCACGCGCTTGCCACTTTCGAGGTTCTGCCAGCAGTTCGTTCTTCTTACCTTTATCGGGCAATCCTCCTCCTTCTTCTTCTCCTTCTTCTTCTCCTCCTCATATTGGCAAAGAGGCATTTGCAGAAAGTCCTCTTCACAGCAGATGAAGCTCACCGTGCATCCCATCCGAGCAAACCCAGAGCGCACACGTCCAAACCCATTCAAACTAAACAAACCCTCACCGCCTCGGTCCTCCTCGCCTCCTCCTCTGCAGGCGCTTACTGCGACTTTATTTCGCTCAGACAGGCGACGAATGTGCGCAGTCGGTCTGGCATCGCTGCGACGTCACACGAGCTTTATAAAGGAGTTTATTAATTTATATATTTTAATAAGTTTGGATGAGTTTCCCGCTCTTGTTTACAGCCACCATGCGACTAACTGCTGCAGACAGACTGAGGAGACAAATGTAGCCCGCAGCGCTTTGGCATGTCTCTCTCTCTCTCTCTCTCTCTCTCTCTCTCTCTACAATTGAATTATTTGGTCTCAGACAGTGTGGATGAAAACAACTGTTTTCTCTTGTGTTTTCACATCAGCTGGTGTCCCCATGTGGCCTGGGCTCACAGGTGACCTCCAGTCCCAGCGTGTCACCAAACAACTGGACTGAGATCAGTCCTTGCACACTGTGCAGGGATCCCTGTGGTCTGAGCAGCACTGAAGTTCACGGGTTATTTTTTTCTTTGCATGCAATTATGCTGCCCCCTGCTGAGTGACATGTTGTCTATATTTAATTCAAGTTCCAATGAGTCTTTATTTTATAGTTTTTCCAGGGGAAGAAGTAAATAGATCCTTCATTTAAGATCCTACTCAAGTAAAAGTAGAGAAGTATAATCAGTAAAAGAATTTCTTAAAGTATCAAAGAAAAAAATACTTATTCTGCAGGAAAAATGCCTTCTGCGACTTCTGTATTATTGTATGACATCATTACGTTAATACTGATGCATCGTTGTTTAAGCAGCATTTTACTGTTGGAGCTAACTACTTTGTGTAATTTTATCCAGTGGTTCCCAACATAGGGGTCCGGCCCCTTTAGATCAGTGATTCTTAACCATGGGGCCGCGAACGCCACCTAGAGGGCCGCAAAAAACTTTCAGTTTTGCAGCTGTGGGCCGCGAGGGCCGCGGGACTGCATAGGTCACAGGTGTCAAACTCAGGGCCCGCGGGCCGAATCCGGCCCGCCACGTCATTTTATGTGGCCCGCGAATCCGCCAGCGAAAAAAAAAAACGTTACAAAAACAAAATTTTTTTTTTTTTTTTTTTTTTTTAATTTTGGAAAAGAAATTTAAAGTTAGACTTGGAAATAAAAGTATCCCCATTGTCGAAATTATGAGATAGAAAGTTGAAATTCTGAGATAGCATGTTGTCTGTGTACCGACATTAAAACTGTCACAACAGGTGGACAGGAGAGGCAACAGCCCGTAAAGCAGTTTTCCAACAAGTGATTGAGTTGAAAAAGATCGACAAATAATCCCAAAATGTCCACGAAGAGAAAAATTGATGCAGAGGGAAGAAAATGTAATTTAAGATGGGAAAGCGAATACATGTTTGTTCTTCAAGGAGAAAAATGGGTCTGTCTTCTGTGTTATGATGCGTGTCGGTGATGAAGGATACAATTCACGTCGGCATTTTGACACCAAACACGGAGCTAAATTTAGCCTCCAAGAAAAACATAAAATTGTCCAAGAATTAAAAGGCAGACTGCAATCACAGCAGAATGTATTTACAAAAGCTACAGCCCAGTGCATGCTAAAGGTATGTGAGCAGGTGAGCTCCGATCAGATACAGACTTTTACAAATGTCAGTTTGTGAAGAAACACCATCGCAGACCGAGTTCAGGAACTAGCAGCAATCTAACAACACAGCTAGCCGAATAGACGAGCAGGTACTCATCTTCTTCATTAGCTGTTGATGAAAGCACAGACAACACGGACACAGAGCATCTATCCGTGTTTATAAGACCTGATCTCAGTGAGGAGCTCTTGGATGTAGCTGCCATGCGCGGGATGACGACAGGGACATTAGTGATGCAGAGGTGACAAAAATAGCTTTGAACAAAGTTAATGTAATAACTTGTGTTTGATGATATTTGTCTTTTCTTTGTTATTTTCTTTAAAAGTTTGATCTTTGATAGAGTAATGTGGGTTTCCTAACCCTAAATTAAAATGATTTATGTTATAATAACAGAAATGTGATTAAATATCATTTTACATTTATATAACTGCATATACAATATTTTTACACTTGAATAAACAATAATCAAATGCAGAGAGAGTTATTTAACAATATGTTAGGGAGTAGTTACAGTTATACAGTCTTACAGTTACAACCGGCCCTTTGAGGGAAACCATGATGCTGAGTGAAAATGAGTTTGACACCCCTGGCATAGGTTATCAATTGAAGACACCAGAGATATTACTGTTCTCCATGAGACGCTCAGTTACAATATATCTTCCCACCACCTGGTGGCGGTAATGCGTCAGTCAGTTGTTTAACAAGCTACAGTAAGCAGAAGAAGACACTCATTTAGCCGCTAGCCCAGGCATGGGCAAATTTACGGCCGTTGGGCTTTTTAATCCGGCCCGTCAAATATTGGTACAAAATTGTCCAAACTACAATAAAGACTAGAGCTGGGCAGTATACCGATTTTAATTTCCCGTATGATATGAATTCTTCACACACTATTATACCGGTGCATAGCCAAAACAACTGCTGTCTGCTTTTAACAGGCAGCTAAATGTATTCTTTGCTGGTAATGCACAGTAGTCAGCGCTAGTTGTCTTATATGTATTGAGAGGGAACCCTAGCCATGGTCATAACTTTATAACACAACAATTAACAACCCACTACTAATGCTTTTTAACAGAGAACACAACAGCACACAACAGTCTGTGACACATAAACAATTTGTAACACTAATAACTGTACATTTATAAAATTTCACTGCCGAATTGCATGCTGGGTACAGCTCGCGAGCGAGCCTGCTTGCTAGCACAACAGTCTGCTAACAGCTGGGAGAGGCTCCGCCGCTCCAGTAACGTTACATTAAAGAACAGAACAGAGCGATGCAGGATGAACAAAGACAGACCGGAGCAGTGTTACATCAGTGTTACATCATTTAATGAATCATAAACATTACACGATTTAACCACTAGAGGGCAGCAGTGTTAAATCATTTAATGAGTGAGAGTGAGATCAATTTGTTAAACTAATAGTGTTAATATTTGAATGGGCCCCGGGACACTTTGTACTTGTAAAGTTGGGCCCCGAGGTCAAAAAGGTTAAGAACCCCTGCTTTAGATGATCCCAAGGTACATCTGAGGGGGCTGGGAGATGATTAATGAGAGTTCTGCTACACAAATCAGTTTTTGTCTTGTGGACACTTTTCCTGCCTTGACCAACTATTTCAATTAAGCTATATGAGAAGTTTAGGAGGAAAATGTCTCTTTTGTGGAACTGCTCACAATACGTAAACATCCGAAACGTGAACAGGAATCCCAGCGAGACACTGCTGCGTTGGTAATTGGTTAGAAATCAAAAATAATGGGAACCACTGGTGTAATCTTCAGTAATGCATGGAATTTTTCAAGCGGATCAATATGTTTTACGTACAATTGTAATCTGAACAGTGACTAGTAACTAACGTTTGTAATAAATGTACTGGAGTAAAAAAGTACATTTCCCTTACCTTTCTCGAGGCGCACATATACGTACAGTATATTCCAGAAAAGGACAATTGAAAAGTTTTTTATTTAATAATTGATATTAATCAGAATCAAGTTTACGATACAATACATTGGCATTGGTGTTTGTTGCCAAAGTACCGCAAAAGCAAATAATCATAGAAACAAATTTAAAGAAACCTATAACATGAAAAATATATTTTAAAAATATGTGTGTGTGTGTAAAATAAAAAAAAGACATACAGCGTTAGTGTCACAATGCTTGTCGTAGTTGTGTTTATTTCACCCGCTCTGCCTCCAGCTACTTCTCTCTACCGCAGCTTTCCTGCATCGCCACTCTCCATCCATCCACCAAAAGCCCTCAGACTCCTCCACCTGTCCCAGCCACCTGACTGTCATCCACTGGTCTCCTGTGTCCACTTTCCCCAATCAGCCATGCAGTATTACTACTCACATTTCCACTCATGTCCTGACACATTGTCAATGAGACTTATGCCTTTGCTTTCCAGCCATCTGAACCTGAACCAGATCTGTTCTCGGTTTCCCGTGTTATCTGTAACTAGATCGTGCACAGTTTCACAAATTTGGCATTAAAAAAATATATATTCCATTCATTTGTTCTTACATACGTTACAGAAGAAGAGATTGCTCTTCGGATACATCACGTCGTCTGTATTGAAGTGCGGCAATGCTTCGTATTATTGCTGAATACAAAAAGTGCAAGGCTTTATTGTGCGTTAAAAGTGAAACCACATGGTCAGACATGTGGCACGTTGAACATTCCAGAAGTGCTCAGTGGTTCCACAGTTGCTTTAAAATATTGAATGGCAAGTAACTTTGTGATGTCCTTTTTTTGTATATAGAGCATTTGATATAGAGCATATTTTAACAAAAGAAAATACATGTTTGCATAATAATAATGTGCATTATATATTTACTTGCATTTGTTATGACAAAAGTTCCAAACCTGTCTCGCTCTCTTAATACATCAGACATCCTTAAAAATACAAGCTTTTCATTCATTTGCAACATTTTCATTGAAAGAAATCTGCAAATCAAGCTGCGTTTCCACATCCTCGCTCCACAAAGTGCAGGTTTAGTGGTTGGTCTGGTATCAGAACAGTGCGGTTGATGCATTTCAACTCTCCCATGTTGGGGTCTGGTTTGATCTCAAACTGCCTGATGACCTGGAGGGGCAAAACAATGATGTTATTGAAGTCATTTCATTATTAGACCTGACTGAAGGCCATATCAACACACTGGCCTTTTTGTTGCATTAATAACACAGCAATGGCCGTACACTTTTGACTTTAAAGCTGCACCAAACAATATTTTCATGTCAACAATGGTTCAAATGACGGTGTGAATTAATGTGTAATGACAGAAGTGAAAGCGGTCACTCGTAGTGACAAACCCCAGTTCCCTGCAGATCTACAGAGCATTTTAGCAACATTTTCTCGCTATCTCTGAAATGCTTCACTGATATCGTAGCTCGCTAGAGCCTCGAATCACAGTATGCCTACTTTCAAAGCAGTGTTTTACTGTTGTTTGATGGCATGAAGTTTTACATCAAATCATGTGTATTACAGTACATAGACGCTGCAAGAGGTTTTCCCACTTGTTGCTTACCCGAAACAGAACCAGGTACATCTCAAGCTCAGCAATCCGGCGACCGACACAGCCTCTCACTCCGAAGCCAAAGGGGATGGAGGCAAAGGGGTTTGGCCTCTCACGGCCGTCACGGAGCCATCTCTCTGGCTTAAACGTGAACGACTCTGGGAATGTGTCCTCATCATGACTGATGGCATAGTGACAAAACGTGAAAGGGGTCTGGGGAAACAACAGTCGAGAGATGAAATGCTGAAACTCTGATCTTTGCAATAAAATGACGAGACAAAAGTACACACAAAACCAGTAGAACAAGTCTAATGGGAAAAAAAAAAAAAAAAAAAAAAAAAGTGGACCCACATTCTTGGAGAATTGATATCCAGCAACAGCAACATTCTTTTCTGCAATGATCCGTGCGTTCATAGGAACCACAGGGTACATCCTGAGAAACAAGAATAGATCATTTCATTTGGTTCAGGCTGGTTTTTTGTTGTGGACAGATGCAGGACAAGTAAGAGATGTAAACAGAAGACAACACATGAAATGTTTCGATATGGAAAAAAGTTGGCCCTTAGATCTAGGGCCATTCTTTGACGGCACTGATGGCTTCTGTGGAAGTTGAACACCATAACCTCTCTAACCAGCCTCACCTCAGGGCCTCCTTGACAACAGCCTTTAAATACTGCATCCGGGTGACCTCGGCAGCGGAGGGGCTCCGGTCCGCTGGCACCGATGTGGACACTTCTTCGTAAAGTCTGTCCTGGGTTTGAGGGTACTTGGACAGCAGGTGCAAAGTCCACGTGAGGGTGTTTGAGGTCTTGACAGCAAAAACACGTCATTAAATAAACAGGCAGAGAGATGCATACCATACATGCATAAGAGAAATGTTGGAATTTGAGTGGCGGTCCAGCTTATATTTTGACATTTTACGATGATGTATTTTCAGAATGTCATTTTTGAGAACCAGGAATAGCATCAGATGTATTCAAAATGAGTCACCGTATTCTACAGCGTTCACCCTTTCTCTAACGAGGACTATTCGTTTTGGCAGTGGAAATAGAAGAAGCCATACATAAAATTGAATTTCTGAAGTAAAACTCATAACTATTAATGGTAAAACTATTGATAGCGCAAAGTAAAAGTCCTGCAATTAAATGTTTACTTCAAGTACAGAGTAAAAGAGAAGCATTATCAGCACAATGTACTTAAAATTTACTTGACGTCTGTTCAAGGTGGCGCTTTCAATTCGGATATGATGCTGGGTTAGGGTAAGCAGAATATTGATTTTGGTCATTACAGCTAACGGAAGAATAACATATTTGTCACACATTTTTCATTTGGGAAGGAGGTCCAAGGAAATTTTTCTAACAATCGGAAGCAGGCCCATAAATTACACATGGTTGAGTATCACATTCACCGTGTCCATTCCAGCTAATAGAAGCTCAGTGATGCTGCCATACACATCTTTAGTGCTCATCTGAGTGTTTGAGAGGAGGTATGTTAGGTATTCGCCCTCCACATCATGGTTGTTGTCCACACGCTGCTGAATGACCTCCATCTTCTTGTCAATCAACTCTTTAGCTAAAATAAGTGCAGAAATGGAAAGTGCTGCATTTTAGCATTCTGAAAAATAAACTCTTACAAAATTGAAAATTAAAACCGTTTCTATTTGATTTTATAGGTAAAATAAAAGGTAATGTTGTGGTTATGGAAAGCACACAGACTAAATAGACAAGGAGAGCGGGAGGATTAGACACAGGTGGAACATATCAGGGTGGGTCCAAGGCGCGAAAACACACAAAGACAGGAGGTGAAACCAGACATGACACATGAGTAGAGCATACCTAGAGCATGACATACCCTAAAGCATATCTTGCTTTATGGTCTATTTCACTCTAAATGGGACCATAATTTACTAAATCAATATGCTGTTTTGAAGAAGACTCAAAACTAGCGATTGAGACCATAAAGTCATGTTTACAATGTTTACTGAGGCAATAAATCAAGTGAGAATAGGGTCATTTTCTCATAGACTTCTATACAATCTGACTTATTTTTACAACCAGAGCAGTCGCCCCCTAATGGCCATTAGAAAGAATGCAAGTTTACGGCATTTCAGCATTGGCTTCACTTTTCAGACCCGAGAGGTTGGCGTCGGTTCCAAACCTTTGAACAGTATCGTATTTCCCAAAATGTTTAACTATTGCTGTAAAAGAGAGTTGATCAATACTGATACTGGTATTGATCCTAATATTGACCAATGAACTTATTTCAGTAACAAGAACACAATTGTGCATTATGTCCACAGTTTTGTCACACTTTATTTCAGAATACACTTTGCTTGTAAAAGTGCTATCGAGCAACAGAAATCAACTCACCAAAGCAGAAGATACCCTCCCAGCCTGCAATGTAGCGCCCCCAGTAGGGTAGCAGACTGCGGCTCCACTTGGGTGCCATAAATGCAGCCAGGTTGTTGGAGAACATCTGGGCTATGGCATTGATGAAGCCTTGTGTACCGGCAGGGATTTCCTTCTCCAGACACCCAAGCCTCGTCTCAAACAGTATGGAGGCAATACCTGATTGGCAAAGGTTAAGATTTAGGATAAGATATGATCAGAGAACCTGTCTGCTAAATTGCTCTCCTTCAATACAAGAAATCAAACAACAAGTAACAAAACAGAAGTCGGAATGAAATCGTGTTAATTAAATTGTAATAATAAAAGGGCCAGTGTGTAGCCTTTAGGGAGACACACCTATTTGCAGAGATGGATTATACTATGATTAAGTATGTTTTCTTTTTGTGTGTGTAATCACATGAACATGTTATGTTCTTGTTACCTTAGAATGAGAGCAGGTCCTCTTGACAGAGTCCGCCTCATTTCTACAGTAGCCCAGAACAGACAAACCAAAACCAAACACTGACTCTAGATAGGGCCATTCGCGTTGACCACTGTAGTTCCACTACACCCTTGGCACACGGGAGAAGTTTCAGTTGGTTGCAATCTGCAAAACCGCCGCTAGATGCCGCCAAATCCTACAAGCTGGCCATTTAATTCATCAATACCAGTATACATACGGTTTGATTTGAATGATTTCACCATCCACTTTAATAAGTGCACACTATTTAAATGAACATGCACCATGTACAAGTTGTCTACATACCCTCTAGTGAGAAGTGATACAGCTCATTGGCCACATCTGTCACCAAATCTCCCGTCGGGCTGCGCTGACGCAGGAAGTAGATCCTCTTGATGAAGTCCGTAACCACGTCGTTGATAACACCATCATATTGTGCAGAGTCTTTCGGATACAGCATGCGCTTATTCAGCATCACCCTCAGGTTGTACCACTTCTCCCCCTCCCTGGGAACAGATATACAGTCACAATGAGAAACAAAACCAACGCTAATCAGGTTTCCAAACATGTGAGATTTGTATTAGCCATGTGTTTTAAATGAATGTGTTGTGTTGGTAATGTTACAGTAAAGTACAAAAGTTGGTGTCTCTTCAATTAAAAGAAAATGTATATAAGATAAACTGTGTAAAGGGACATGTCTTTCTGACATATACCATTTCTTCCTGTTGATCTCAGGTGATGTGGACACAAATACAGCAACAATCAACTGAGGTCATATGAACTTCAACACTACTTGAATGGTCCTCTTAGTACACAGATGTTTTGACCTGTAATAGTAGGAAAAGGTCATAACATTAAAGGTGTTAAATTCCAAAGTCAGGGCCTTAATATAGCAGTAGAGTAATTGAAATAAGAAACTAATTGATTAATTAATTTTGTATCAGCCATCTAAAATGTTTGTAGTTTATGATTCTACATAAATTTACATAAGAAAATAATTGTGTAACCAATTGCTTTTTTTAACCAATTTTTCCTGGAAATTTCCTGTCGGAAAATGGTTGAACCAGTGTTTATTCATAACGTTTTGGCTTGTAGATTTGGGAAGGAAAGCCAAATGTCAGCACAGTGTAACTAACCAGTAAGTTAAAGTTTATCAAGCCTCTGTAGCCTGACTGATGCTGGGGTTTTGAAAAAATAAAGACAGATATTCAAGATTTTAAGGTTTGACATCTTAAAAAAAACATGGTTATTTGCTTGAAAGCCCAGAAAAAGGGACAAAGTGGACATTTAGTGTAGATTATTTTGTCCCACATCTGATCAGATGAGAACGTATGAAATTCTGGGATAGTGGGGTTGGGGATGATCGTGGCCTCCAGTCTTGACATGCTGCGTCAAGAAACAGTAGTAATAATTATTGTAGCATTCTTTACTATGCAAAACGCTTTGTTTGGATCTCATGAGGCAGCAAAGAGCCATGGGTATTTCCCTCCCCACTCGTCCCGGGAGGCTACCTGCAGTAACCTTTTTGCTATTTGGCTGGATGTAAACTTCAGTTTAGACTAGTTTTCGGGGCAAACAGGACAGGGAACCACGTTTGACTTATCGGTCATGCTCTAGTTCCCTGCCATAAAGTTCCCAGACTTTGTAAACATAATTTGATTTTAAATGTGTTAATGTATGAAATGTATTTGTTCACTTAACCAAACCCTATAGGCAATGACTGTTGGTGATGCAAACATCAACTTTACAGTCTGAGAGCAGTCTCTAGCAGGTCACCATTGATACGTCCCTCTCACATGACAGGACTTTGCCCTGGAAAGCCTTTATGTAAGTTCTTCAAGTTCTTGTTTAGACAAGGAAAAATGGTGAAAGAGCATTTCTAAGCACATAATACAGTATTTGGCAGGCTCACTCCGTGAAAGGCCCATAGCCAAATCCTCTCATATCACGATACTCTTTCCACGTCGTCATGTCTCCTCGTCTAGGGAACTTCTCGTCGTTCCTCAGGACTTCCTCCAGCAGCTTTGGAGTGTTCACGGAAACTGACTTCAGTCCGTCTCTGTATATGGGCCCATATAGCTGCTTCTCATAGATCTGAAGGTAGGCAAAGTGAATGCAAGAAAGGTGAGTAAACAGAGAAACCTGTGTTCTAGCAATCTCATAATGCAGGAGGTAAGAAGAAGGAAACAACTTGAGCTGCTGCACCATGAAGGCTTACAACACGTCAGAATCAATCAGTGTTTGAATATTAGTCCCATTAATCAAATGTACTGTGTGACTAAATGCCGGTCTTTTCGCAAAAAGTAGTCCTGCAATCCTCTCCTCTGTGAGGGCCAGCCGAGACTGGCTATTGTTATCTGAAGGTTACCATGGGAACAAAGGTAATAGAGCCAGCCTGGCAGTATGTCTGATGTATTGTATTGGGAAATACAGTCACTCATAGCACACCATAATCCCTGAAGTAAATCATCAAGAATTTTTGCAGAAAGCAAAGTTGCACCCAAGATTCCTCATCACGGATTTTCTGGAAACACATGTAGATTAAAACAATGGTGCATCACTGTGGCATAGACCTGCTGAATATGCATGTGTGGCATCCAGAAACCATGCAGTGCACTGACGCCTGGCTTACCTGTAGTTCGTGCAAACGGTTGTAGAAACCCTGAAACACCATCCTGTAAAGTAGCTCCAAGAAGCTGACATGTGGGAGGTCCTCCACTGTCCGAGGCTTGTCCTGGAACGCAGAGAGGGCCTCCGGGGCAGAGGACGGGCCTCTCCCCCCCCTGGAGCAGACCCGGGCCACGGCATTAGGGCACGGCAGCAGCCAGCTCCCATTCCTTCCCACCACACTCCGGGACAGCCATGCAGCCATAGTGAGAGCAGAATGGAAAATACAGGGCTCCTGTTACATCTAAGAGACTAGCTGAGCAGGGAGGAGACATGTCTTACACAATGTTTAACCCTTTCAGCACAGCTCTCAAGAATCAATGAAGGCCAAGGGTCAGTCCACCCATACATTTGTAGTTCATAACTCAAATGCCGCTAACCCATTTTTAGTGTGTTGGATAAGTAGCAAACTATGGAGTTCTGAGAAACAATATCTCACTCGAGGGCTAGGCGACCTCTCTCACCCTGGACACAAACTGTTTGAGTCCCTTCCCTCTGGCAGGAGGCTGTGGTCCACCTTACGCCACAAAAACTGTTTCTTCCCATCTGCAGTTGGGCTCATCAACAAAGCCCGGGACTGTTACACACCCTTCACATCCTTTCAATGTTAAAATACACTTTTATAATATACTTGTTTTAACACACTGTTATGTTTGTTTACCATATTTTATTGTAAATTTGATATTTTTAATTTTTAAATTATGTCTTCATTATTGCACTGTGCTTATTGATTATTGTTATGCACCATTCACCTAGTTAAATTCCTTGCATGTGTAACGTACTTGGCAATAAACGGTTCTGATTCTGAGATATTATAATCTCCTCAGAGACTAAACACTCTTGTCCAGTCAGGAACAGCCTCCCTCAAGATCTCAGAGAAGCCAAACCAGTGCACATTATTAGAAAGCATCTACAACAGCAACACTTTTGTTTGTGCTTTCTCTTGATTACATAGCTCTTGAGCAATGCTCATGGTTCTTCTTGGAAGTACTTAAGTTTTCCTGTGTCTAACATGTGTGGTACTCCCAAAGCGCATATACAGGAAAGGTCTTGTAGCATCTGCTTGCTGTACTTGAAGGCTTTTGGCCTGACAGTAACAATAACTGGAAAACGCTATATTTTCTGCACAAAATGTGCTTGCTGCTGAAATTTTGCAGATGAAACAATTGAACTTGTGGTACAACTGCAGTTCAAATGGAAGTGCTGAAAGAAGTTGGAGGAAGGAATTTGAAGAGAAGGAAATAAAAGCAAGTTGAACTGTCAGTTGAGGTGTCAAAGATGAAAGTAGTTGAAGTGCTTTCATCTTTGACACTTCAACTGACATGAAATGAGTGGTGAGCCAACCCTAAACTAGGAAACACTGCCTTTGCAGTTGGTGCAGCAGTCTCATGGAATCATTTGCAATGTCACTTAAAAATCAAAACACTGACATCTCTCTGTGACAGTGCCATTCTTAATGTCCATTCTCTGCCTGTATTCATTTGGTATCAATCATAAACTGCATATACAGTTTATGGCATCACAGTTTATGGCATCGACGCACATCTGTCTTAATAATACCATTACTTCAACTGGAAATGTAAAAACAATATTTCTCAAATTTCTCAGTCATCAGTCTTCAAACGCTTAGCAGTCCTGTCATTATTTCATTTGCGCAACATTGTCTACCGATCCTACGGGGTCCATTTTGTGCAGCAGAAAGTGCCCTTGCACCAGGGCGGCGCTGATCTCAGCGTGGACGGCCAACGCACGCTCAGCAAACCGCTCTCCTTCGGAGGCAGGCTCGCCTGGGTAGAACCGCCGGAACATCTGCGTAAGCTGCCAGTGCGTGCAATTGCCAATGTACTGCTTCAGGTCAACGCGGCCGGGTCGGATCAGTGCTGGGTCTAACCTGTGTGCAGAGATTACAAGCAAGAGGGGCAGTTAATGTCACTGAAATTACCAGGGACGCACCAATTCATCGGCAACAGGTGTGTGGTTTGTTTACAGATAAAAAGTGAAGGAATGTGTGTCAGCCATGTGGGAGTTTCACAGTTGCCCAATCCCAACTAGCCACTCGGCTGGGTGCGGGAGAAGATCCTGTTCTTTACTCGCTACAACAAAGAGATTCCAGGTGTTTCACACTTTTGGGTGAGGTTCCCATTTAATTAGTGTTCACAGATGATATACAATAGGATAGCACTTATCTTCCTGGTCTCCCTCTGGTGTGTCTGGCTTGCGGTAAAAACCGTGCAATCTCCCCGTCACCCATGCCTCATTACCTGTCAGTTGCACCTGTGCCCCATATATTAATTACCTGCCGCAATACTCCACACTGCCACCCGTTGTCAACCTGAGATAGGCTCCTAATTCAAACATAATACACAGACATAACTAATGGCTCCTACATGGCTCATGGCTCCGCTTCCAGGAATAAATTAAATGTTTGATGAATAAACCTGTGTAATATAATCTCTGCTTCCATTCCTCTGACTTCATGTGTTATGTTCCATCTTTAATCCTTCATGTTTCAGAGTTAATGTAATTGGCCAGGCTGAACACCCGTGTGCCTTCCCCTTTGTTTTTCCTTCTTTTTACATCTCCATGCTTCCACCGGTAACCCGTGTTTAATGTCACATTGCTATGAATTGTGGGTAAATCCCTTGAGCAAATTGTGCAGAAATGCGGACTACGGAAAGGGTCCGTAAAGGGCTCTCAATTTAAATTTGATTACATTCAACTTGTTTCACAAAAATAATGTACAAAAGATAGTCTAACGAAATGCTGAATGACTTTAAAACAGTTCAGTTATATTTCTATTTATGAAAATGTATGTAAAACTCACCCGTGAAATGTCAAAAAAACATAACGGACATAACATAGCTTGTAGTGTCCATTTTGAAAATATATCAATGTAACTGGGTAAATATTATAGTTTGAATTCTAGTTTATAGTACTTTAAATATTCTAAACCTACATTATTTGATATCTTTAGCCACTAACATGCATAACAAGCTGAAAACACAACAATGGGGCATATGGTCCCATATAAAGCTGTATTAGCTAACTGCTGCTTGTTTATACATCCACCCAGCAGAGCAGCTTTAGCATTGAAGTCCAATATTTGGTGTCCTCTTGGCTCTGTTTTGGTGTGCATCAACTCCTGAGAAATACATGTCTCTTTAACTGCTAAACACTCCACTATGCTCACCATCAAGTCGCTAACTTTGTCTGTCTACCAGTGCATGCTGGGCAGGTGGCGAGTACTGGATTCATTGGAGGCTAACTGCAGTCAGTTAATTGTTCTCTGAGGGTTCATCACTACGATTGACATTTGTCACATAATACACAATCATTTCATTCTTTGTTAATATTTAAAAAAAGATCTACTGGTGCAGCTTTAAGTGTTTGTTTTCTTTTAGTTATATGCATTAGATTTCCCTTCCTCTGTCGTTTTAGTTAGCAGAATGTTTTAATTGGTTTTAGATATTTTTGTATGATGAAAAGGTATAAAAAGAACTGCTGAACTTATGTCATGTCGTTGAGGATCATTTGTGGATGACTTGACTCATTTTAAACTTCATGATTGCTAATATCAGCAACATTTAAAGACAAAAAAAACGGAAGTTCTTTTCTCTGCTATTTGATTTCAATCTTGCTCTCAACTTTTACTGAAGTCAAAGATCCTTTCCTGTTTTGTTTGTCCCGCTCTGCTCAGACAACAATACACATAATAAATACTGTGTTCACACACTTTCTTCAAGCGGTACCTGTCAATGAAGTTGGTGGTCATAAAAACTATTCTGGCCTCAGATGAAGCCACTCCATCCAGAGCATTAAGCAGGCCACTGAAGGTCAGTCTCCCCATTCCCTGGTAGGCCACCGGGTCTGGGAGGCAAAAGCAAAAAAGGAATTTGAAATTCACCCTCAAAAGAGAATGAAACACAAAGACGGAGCTGTCTGAACAATCACAGCTTTAGAAGTGAACACAGTAGTTAATTCTACCTGAGACATAAATGAAAACATCTCATGTAAACAGAGGGACTAACGTGTCATTTCTAGTAATATTGGTATAGTTCAACCTCTTCTTTGTGTTACGTTTCTGACAACAGAATCCCAAACTGCCGGCTATTCCCTGTCACTCACTGTCTGTGGAAAGCAGCTCTCGGCTGACAAAGGCTGCATCTACATCCTCCAGCAGTATGATGCTTTGCTGCGGTGCCACGCTCAGGAGGTGGTTCAGACGGTCGTCTGAAAGGCTTTGGTCGCTCAGACTCATCAGACAGATGCTGTAGCCCAGCTCGCCTGCCAGAGCCGTGCTGGAACACAAGGAGCCAATGAGTGAAATTGAACCCAAGCATAAGCCATGACATGATAAGCCAAGTCTTTTGATCACACAGACTCTAAAACAAGAAGGGTAAGAGCTCAAATCCAAAAGCACTCTCACATAAAGCTGCTTTTTCCACACCCTGGGGGGCCATACAGCAGATATCCTCTTCTGTAGGGTATGCCTGCATTGACAAAAGAAAAATCAACACATAACACAGAACACAGAATAACTGGAAATTCTACCACGTTTATTCAAAATACAAAAAAACAATTCGGAAAATCAGCGTTTAATTTATTAATGTTTTCTTTATTTTTCAAAAGGTATCACTCTCAAATTTTAGATGTCAAAGTGTCACCAACATGAAAGACTCGCTGGCAGGCACAACACCTCACAACAGTAAAGGTCATGATATGCAAACATGAGTTATATAAACACACTAATATAAAAAAATAAAACAGTTAAACGCAACTTGTTGTGCATTAAGTGAATGAGTTAAACACCAGGATATTCTACCTCTGTCCATGTACCACTTGGGGTTCCCAATGAATTCCTTCACATCGTCTACGATCCTTTCGGTCAAGCCCCCCTCCAGCACCACGGAGCTGAGGGGTCTGCGTCGCCGTGGAAAGCCGAATGGTCTCCAGTCGCCGCCCATGGCGGTGTACATCACTGTCCTTCCCTCTTCCTGCTTCAGGGCCAGTTCTCTTGCTGCAAAACATAATTGACATCTCCACCAAATGGACTCTGAATAGCAAATGGATGCAACATGAGTCAAGTGTGTTGCAGCGAGATGCGTGTATGTACTGTGGACATGCGCAAACCTTTACCTTCTTGTAAGATATTAAAGAAAATCTGTCTGTCTCTGCCTAAAGCAGTGAAGGTTACGGACTCCCACGGGGTTCCAGTGTTCAGATCCACCATCTGCTTCTCTCTGGTCCTCTCCACCCGGATCCACTTCCTCCCGTACCTGCAGACCACAACAGACGACAGCGTCAGAGGATGTACTGTACTGCCCAGGACAATGGTAACTGTAGGTATCATATCTCTGACCAGATGATGTGGTTCCCAGGGCTTGGGTGGAAGTCAAACTGTGTGTGAACCCGCCCGCTCTCGTGTGCCAGGTAGGAGGTCTGCACGCTCAGGTGCTGAGTGTGTTTGCTGTGCTTGGTGATCCAGCTCAGCAGCCAGTGGTAGCTCTTATCCCTGCTGGGGACCTCCAGGGTGATCATGTAGTGCCTGCGGAAGAAGATCATTCCCACCTGGGCACCTTTCCTGGCCACTGCCAAGGCTGTCCCGATCCCAACCAGTCCAAACCCAGCCCCGAAGTACGGGTTGTCCTTCAGGCTGTCCAGAAAGTCCGACAGCGGCATTGTTGCCGATATGTGCGCAACCCCCTCAGTGGAATCAGACGATGTAGTTATTATACACTAGTTTCAAGTGATACATCCTGCCATGTTAAGTAATTAGCGAATATTCCACTGACTTGCCCTCTTTGTCTCCATCTCATACGGCTGTCTTGGATGCTGTCGTTTCCGGTGTACACATTTTCTTTGAAAACAATATTTGTTCAACCTACTAAAATCCACATGCGTGCAATGTATGGTTGTGGTGCGCAGTAGTGATAGCGACCTCTACTACACTTCCTGTGTTTGACAAATAACTGTCCGACTGTGCGCCTGACCTCAATCGTGGGTTCCTAGCTCGTGTTATCTTAACATTATTTTTGCTCCTAAGCTAAGATGCCAACTCAACTAAATAAATAAAGATACATGTGTTGGCGACTAGCATAGTGTATGCATGTTACTGTAAAGACTGTGCGGACCGCAACGGCGAAATGAATTGGTAGCAGGAACTGTTAGCGGTTAGCGACCAAATTAACAAGAAGCTAACGATAGCTCAGTTATCGGGGATGCTGTTAGCGTATTGATACCATTTTATACCATCATGTAAGTGAAACTTCGTCTACTATCACTCAGAATTAATAAAGACAGCCTTGGCAGTTAAAGATTAATTTTACGAGTGGGATGCTGTCAAACTGATAATGGTTGGTATTCTGTGTTTCAGATAGAAACAGACCGCGGAAACCCAGGCAGTAGGTTGATATTCTGTTTGTACCTTACAGTCTGTGGTTTGTCCTGCAAGAATAGAGCTGATCTAATGTTCATCACCTAACTAGTAAAGAAAATACAAGGCAACAGAGAGTAAATTAGGCCCTAATATAATGAAAACACAATTTATTATACTAAGCTAAGTTACTGTATATATTGTAGTCGGCTCAGTCCGATGATGTCTGTTTATGCATTGAGAGGAATCGCAGTATTTCGTGAACCATAAATTCAATGCAAAAAAAGTGTTTGGCATGCTGTTTTTAAATCTGTCCAATTGTAACTAAATGCTGTTTTTCTTTTCCAGACACAATGGAGACCGTGGAACCTCATGGATGTGAAAAATGTGGGCAGAGTTTCTCAGACAGTGGCTTGTTTACCTCGCACCCCTGTTCAGAAAGGCCAACCACTCCATCCATTAAATTAAAGGTGGAGAACTACAAATGTTCTCAGTGCAGTGAGGTTTTTTCTGAGCCGGGCATCCTGAAGCGCCACTTCAAAATCACCCACAGTGGGCGCGACCCTGAAGGCCCATTCCCCTGCACTGAGCCAGGCTGTCAGTTCAGCAGTGCAGGCCGTCAGGAATATCAAGCCCACTTGATGTCCACACATGGTCTCACTCTTGTTCCTTGCAACCTCCGGTCCTGCAAAGTGTCTTTCCTCACACAGGGTGAGATGGAGAGACACTTGCGGGGCCACATGCCCTTCGGCTGCTTTCAGTGTCAGTTTGTCACTCTAAATGTTGAAGACCTGAATGACCACCTGGTGGAGCACAACCATCAGCCACCTTGCGCTCAAGGTAAACAGAGTTGGTGTTATGTTATACACATGCAGAAATCCATTAAACATGTGCTTGGTTTTCAAAAAGAAAAAGTAGATTTTACATGAACATTTTGGCGCATCTGTTCATAGAGAACGAGACAGCGGCCACGGTATGCACAAATGGAAGCAACCAGCCTCAGGCATCCGGCAGGCCGAAGAGAAAGCTAATCCCCAAACCAGTTTATGCATCATCGTTAACAGAAGACGGGAATGAGGAACCGCCTGAGCAGCAAAGGCGCAATATTAAAAGAGTGAGAAAGGCAGTGGAAAGAGACAAACCATCAGCAGTGGACGCTGCATCGCCACCATCCAAAGGTACGTACACCAACCTGCCTGGTATGTTATGTTGAGTTAAGGTTGTATCAAATAATAAAGCACAAAAAACGTCAGATTTTCCAGTGATATTAAAACACATAAGTGATCAATTAGGGTGCCAGTTAGCGACGTGTGATTGCTCCAGACCACAAAGTCCAATGGCAGTGTTCTTACACTTAGCAGGACAGTAATTAGATGAACTACGACCCATTCCGCCAAACGAACTAGCTGGGGAACATAGTGGAGCAATTAGAGCCGGACATTCCCCTCACGAGTTGGTGGAGACCAAAAACAGAGATAAAAAAGAAAGTGAACTTTGGACGACTCAAAATTCAGGATGGTTTTGCTCTATGACTGCTGGATGTGTAAAAAAGCGAGGGTTTGCTCAGGTTTTCCATATCAACTTAAAAGGTGATAAAGTGTCAATCTTGTGTTCATAACTAGTTTACACGGCCAACAAGTGGCCAAAAAAGCACGTATTGCAAATACAGCAAATACTGTTATTGCACTTGTAGCAGCAAAAGTGTGCCAAGTGAGTGTCTTATGATGCAAGACAATAGTGCAGAAAGTTACAGTTGGCAGTGTAATAGTCTTTCATCACAGAAGCTACTATGTTTTGTTCTCGTTTCGATTTTTCCAATGTGTCAATGAAAAATATACTCACTTTTATCACAAACTTTGAAATGAATTCCCTATGTTCTTGTCCATCAGAGTACCTTGCGGAGGGATCAGAGCATACCTATCACACCCACACCTGCCCCAAGTGTCGACGCTGCTTCAAGATGCGCTCCCACCTGCAGGAGCACCTCCATTTACATTTTCCCGACCCCAGCCTCCAGTGTCCCAACTGCAAGCGCTACTTCACCAGCAAGAGCAAGCTACGCATACACAGTCTCCGTGAGGCGGGCAACAAGGTTCACCGTTGCCACTTGTGTGAATATTCTGCCGTGGAGCGGAACGCCATCCGCCGCCACCTTGCCAGCGTGCATGCCGATGAGGTAGAGGATGGCGTGAGCGGTCACAGCTATCCCTGCCCCACCTGTGGTCAAAGCTTTCGCCAGAGCAGGTCGCTTAAGGCCCACATGAAGACGCACAACATCCTGTCGGGCAGCAAGCCAGTGGCCTGCTTCCAAGGGGGTTGTTCTTTCAAGAGTTCTTTGCACAAAGAACTTCTTCGACACACTGCCGAGGTGCACGGCGTCAGGGCTGTAGGGTGTCGTCATCACGCCTGTGGCGCCGTCTTCCAAAGTGAGACGGACATGGAGGCTCATTATCGGACGCACCTCGCCTACCACTGCTCACAGTGTGATTTCTCTTGTTCCAATAAGACCGTCTTCCTCCAGCACCACCGGCACGGTCACCCAGGAAACGACGAGCTTTGCTGTGACTTTTGCTCCTTCGCCACATTTAACCCCGTGGAGTTCGAGCAGCACATTGGACATTTGCACGCCAACGAGAAGATCCATCGCTGCTCTCAGTGCAGCCACGTGACCTCGCACAAACGGGGCTTGAAGCGCCACATGCTGATGCACAGCGGTGAGGAGTGAATCGATTTTTAATGCTCCGATGGTTTTCTCATCTGATTCTCGCCTTACGTTTGGCCTTTGTGTAGCTAATTCACATTTCCTGATTTAATCTTTTTCTCTCTATTAGGTGAGAAGCCCCACAAGTGTAGCCTGTGTGACTTCAGATGCCGAGATGAGTCGTACCTCTCTAAACATATGCTCACTCACTCAGACGACAAGAACTTTATGTGTGCTGAATGTGGATATGTCACTAAATGGAAGCACTATCTGAATGTCCATATGAGGAAACATGCTGGAGACCTCAGGTAGATCCCTCAGTAGGTTCGATGCAACCATTGGTTATGTTTTTCATTTTGGCATTGTTACTGCACTGCTGAGTACACACGGAGTTATCAAAAAAAATCGATGATGTGTTTTTACTGAATTTAGTTTGAAGCCCCGACACACCCTTGGTACACCCACACAGGTGTTTTCACTTATTTAGCCTGATTAGTGCAGTACCCATGCCCATATAGGCCTATTCTCCGGAATCCCAAATGGCTTCAGTGTTATGTTGTTATGACCAAACTTCCTGTCTCCTGTCCTAGGTATAAGTGTGACCAGTGCCCCTACCGCTGTCACCGCATGGACCAGCTCAATAGCCACAAGTTCCGACATCAGGCCAAATCACTAATGTGCGAGATCTGCGCATATGCCTGCAAGCGCAAATATGAGCTCCGCAACCACATGTTGGCCAAACACTCTGGTGAGGAGAAACCGCCGTCTTTCTTGAAGTGCAAATACTGCACGTACACTACCTGCTACAGACAAGCCCTTCAAAACCATGAGAACTGCAAACACACCAAGCTGAAAGAGTTCCGGTGTGCCCTCTGCTTCTATTCATCTTTCAGCAGCATCAGCCTCTTTCTGCACAAGAGGAAAGCTCATGGCTACGTCCCCGGGGACAAAGCGTGGCTAGAGAACTACGCTGCAAAGGAGAAGGAGAGGAACTCAACTGGGTTCTTGCAGGATTTTTATGAAAAGCCCTCAGCAGTTCACGAGCAGTCTGAACCATCCACTTCTGAAGGACCTCCACCTTCTCAAAGAGAACAGTCTGATCTTCCTGGCTCAGCAGATCACGGTGCCAGCAAAGGATCCCTAGCTGGTTCAGAAACTGTGGATGCTTTTGATGTTGTTTCTCAAGAGGTTGTTAATGAAGGTGTTTCTGACAATCCTTCACCTGTGAACAGCCCCGAGGAGTACTGTACTCTCGTCTTAACGACACTATCAACCACAGACTATCAGACCTCCTCTTTGCAGAGTCAGGAAGGACACTGCACAAATCAAACTCCAAGCATGGCCAATTTAAATTGTAATGGCTTTGACATATCCCAAGAGAAGGCAGACTCCTCTACATCTTTATCAGAGGAAGACAACATAGCAATGGCAGATGCAGAACGTGAACAAAGTGACTTAGATGACAACTGTGTGCCTCGGAATAATACAAGTCAACCAGTTGAACCGAGGGAGTGTCGAACATCTGAGGTGGAGAATGACGGTGGATCAATTGCTTCCACGTTTCCATCCGAGCAGAATAAGCCATTGGAATCTGAGATCCGACTGAAAGCTATGAAGAAGCACGACAAGGACCAAGCAGATGCCATGGTTTTGGAGGGAAGGGTGCAGATGCTTGTGGTGCCAACCAAAGACGTCCATCGATGCGACAAGTGTTCCTATGTAACCAGCAAGGAGAGCGCTTTGAAGCACCACTGCCGGGCTTCGTGCTGTGGTAGAACAAAGAGACACAAGTGCCAGGGTTGTGGCACGCAATTCAAACAGAGGCGAGGCCTTGATAGCCACCTTGCAAAGAAGTGCCCAGCACTTCCACGAAAAACAAGGGCATTTGTAGGCATTTCAAGTACAGCAGAAGACAACTCTACTGTAGGCCAGGGAGGATCCAAACAAGTTGATGAGGGAGCAAATGCCGATCAGACAGAACTTCTTAATCGGAATTCCACAGATTCAAACGATCAGGAATTTAATCAGCAAGAGGAAGAACGTACATCTCATTTAACAAAATGTAAAGGTTTTGTTCATAATGTTTTTACAGCCAGTGAATCAGGACAGAAGCCAAGTAAAATCCTGACAAAAAAGCTTTTGAAAGTTAAACTGACAAAGAAGCAGTTATTATCCAATGGCAAGCAACGAAATATTCCACTGCAGACGTCCCTTTCCGCTAAAAAAGATGGGAAATTCAAATGCAAGCTGTGCAATTTTTCATCAGTCCGGCTCACAACGGTTGAGCGACACCTCTCACACTGCAGAAAGATCTCAAAGAAAAGAGGGAATGAGATCATTCCAGAAGTGGGGGATGAGTGGGATCACGAGTCGGCCAGCGAAAGAGAGGACTCGGCTGAAGAGCACAATGACAGAACTGGGAAAGTTTCAGAAAAACACAAAATCTTCTCTTGTCCAAGCTGTGCATTTAAGTGCAGTCAGAAAAGGGCATTAGACAGTCATGGAAAGAGAGGCTGCTTGAAGCCAGATGAGGTCCAATGCACCATGTGTTCACTTGTAGCCAAATCCCACATTTCTTTGACCCGTCACATCTTGTGTGTCCACAGCGAAAACAAAGTTGCTCTTGCTAAACGTGTGCATTGCCAGCACTGTACTTTCACCTGTAAACAAGAACGATGCATGACACTGCATGTCGCGCTCAAACACAAAGGTGCGCGACCTCACCGTTGTCGATATTGCCCTTTTAGCACCGCAAGGCGCTATCGCTTGGAAGAGCACGAGTCTCTCCACACGGGAATCGGTCGTCACAGCTGCGACGTGTGCGACAAGACCTTCGGGGCCGTGACCAAATTGCGCCAGCACAAGATGCGCATCCACGACAAACGGCCGACGCACTTCTGCCCACTCTGTGACTTCAGCGGCTACACGCTCGACGATGTGAGACGGCACAATCTCAGGTGCCACACGGGGGAGTTGCAGCACGCTTGCACGCATTGCGAGGCGAGGTTCAGTTCAGAAGTTGCGCTGAGAAACCACTGTAAACGCGCGCACCAGCTCCAGGTGCATTTCTCGTGCAAGCAGTGCGACTACTCGTGTGGCAGCGAGGTCTCGCTGAAGACCCACAAGGAGAGCAAGCACCCTCAGGTAAAGTGCAACACATGCCAGGAGTCTTTCAAGACGAAGGAGGGCCTTGAGATTCATCAGAGAACCCACCTGGCACATCTTTGCCAGCTGTGCCCCTTCGGGACCAAAACAAGGCAGCTGTTAGCTCAACACCTTCTGAGCGAACACGAGGAGGGATCTCCAGAGGACAAGCCTTTCAAGTGCAGCTCTTGTCAGTTTGCGTGTCGGCATCAGCTGGTGTTGGAGCAGCACTTCCGTTCACACGGAGGCAAGCGCCTGTACAAATGCACAGACTGCGAGTATTCAACCCGGAACAAGCAGAAGATCACGTGGCACATTCGCATACACACTGGAGAGAAGCCTTACAGTTGTGAGCAGTGCAGTTACACCTGCACTGATCCGTCGAGGTTGAAGGTAAGCTCAAAGTTTATAGCTTGTTGTGTGTAAGATTAAAAAGGTCATTATTTAAGAGTGCTGTTTTGGACGGAACTTTATACAATTAGGCTATTTATTTCTTTACAGGAATGCCAGCACTTATCTTTGTCACAATTGTTAAATAACCACTTGGGACAAATGGTTTTAAAAAAAGAGAAGGTTGAAACCACTATACCATCTATCGATAAAGTATGAAACCACAACATGCCGTTTTTAAACTTTGTACAGATTTAAACAAATGCAATATAACGTGTGACGTTATATAGTGACGTGCTTTTCTTAGCTGTTTCCCACTGTCCCCAGCTTTTATGCTAAGCTAAGCTAACCAGCTGCTTGCAGTGGTGGACAGACATAAGAGTGGTCTGGATCTTCTCATCTAACTTTTGGCACAAAAGCAAAGCATGTTTCCAAAAACCATTCCATCAACTGACAGCAAGGACAACTTTTAATTTGTTCTGACACAACTCAAAAAATTCTCTGTTTAGTGTTTCATCATTATTTATGTGTGTGTGTGTGTGTGTGTGTATGTATATATATGTATGTATGTATGTATATGTATATATGT